CTTGTGGCTACTGGGGCCTTCCTGTGTGCCTGGCCCCCAGACGTGGCTTTCCTGACTCATCTGTAGGCTATGGCTTACTGGCCTCTAGATGTCCTTTGGAAAAACATGTGTGAGGCTTACATTGATATGAACATTCTGCAAGGCAGTTTGGCAGTGCATTAAAAAAAAAAATCAACGTACAGTGTGTCCTCTGGAGTTTTTCTGTATAGTCGCTAAAAATCACATTCTAGGGGACTGTTTAATGACATGGAAAGTACTGATGGTTTATTAAGTGAAAAAGTCTTTGTGTGCATATGTGTTTATTTATGTATATCTGTGGCTATCTATGTATATGGTATATCTCAGTGTGATGAGATTGTGACTTTTCTTTACTTCTTTGTCCTTTTATTTTGAGACAGGGTCTCATTCTGTCACCCAGGCTAGAGTACAGTGATATAGTCAGCTCACTACAGCCTTGATCTCCTGGGCACAAACAATTCCCTGTGCACCACCACACCTGGCTAATTTTTGTATTTTTTGTAGAATCAGGATTTTGCTGTGTTTCCCAGGCTGGTCTCAAATTTCTGGCCTCAAGTGATCCACCGCCTTGGCCTCCCAAAGTGCTGGGATTGCAGGTGTGACCCACTGCACCCAGCCCTCTTTGTACTTTCCTATATTAACAAAGTTTTGAGGTCAGGTGTGGTGGTTCACACCTGTAATCCCAGCAAGGCTGGACGTGGTGGCTCACCCGTGTGATCCCAGCTCTTTGGGAAGCTGAGATGAGCCACCGCACCTGGCCTGTACACACTCTTTAAGGAAACAAAGCCTTTACTATTTCTGTGCCTTGGAAGGAAGTTTCTGCATCCATGAAACAGAGGTTACATGCATGTCTAATGTTTGGGGATTGCAGGAAAAAAAAACAAACAGAAGTAACTATGATGCCGACTTTATGGTTTGGTTTTGTTTTCTTTTCCCCCTTTTTGGTGAGGATTTAATGGGTTTGTGTGCTAAGAACAGTTTGTATTAAGTACAGATGATTTTCAACTTACAGAGCTTCAACTAGCTGGGCGCAGTGCCTCACACCTGTAATTCCAGCACTCTGGGAGGCCAAGGCACGCGGATCATGAGATCAGGAGATCAAGACCATCCTGGCCAAAATGGTGAAACCCCATCTCTACTAAAAATACAAAAATTAGCCAGGTGTGGCAGTGCATGCCTGTAATCCCAACTACTCAGGCGGCTGAGGTAGGAGAATCGCTTGAACCAGGGAGGCAGAGGTTGCAGTGAGCCAAGATAGCACCCTTGCACTCCAGCCTGGGTGACAGAGCGAGAGTTTGTCTTTAAAAAAAAAAAGTTTCAACTTACTGTTTTTTGACTTTAAGGTTGAGCGAAAACGATACCATTTAGTAGAAACCGTGTTTGAAGTAACCATACAACCATTCTGTTTTTCACTTTCAACATGGTATTAGATCAATTACATGAGATATTCACCACCTTATGATAACATAGGCTTTGGTTAGATGATTTTGCCCAGCTGTAGGCTAATGTAAGCATTCTAAGCACATTTAAGTTAGGCTAGGCTAAGCTATGACATTCGGCAGGTTAGGTGTATTAAGTGCATTTTGACTTATATTTTCAGCTTATGATGGTTTTACTGGGATGCAACCCCATTGTAAGTTGAGGAGCATCTGTAAAAACATTAGCTATTCCCATTATTGTTAACTGCAGAAGAGGGTGGATTGGGTTCTTAAGTATCACAGAGGAATGCAGTTATTAATAGTATTGTTATGGACTTACCTGTAAGAAAGTTCTCTACATGGATATATTCTGCCCGCCTACTTCACTGTATTGGCTATTGTACTATCAGATGAAATAGGAATCTAAAAATGCTTGGAAAAGTGGATATTCTATACAGATTTAGGGAATTATTCCAGCGTTGAATTGGGGTCATATGGAAGAAAAGATATTTTGCTACTCTTCCATTCTATTAGTAGAGTTTTATATTGAATATTTTTTGTTTTGCTCCGCACATTCAGAGAAACTTCTCTAGTAATGAACTATAGAAATGATCCCAGAAAGCACAGTCTTTGTTCTTCCATTTCTTCCTTGAAAATTTCCTTTTTTTAAATTTATTCATTTAAGAGCCAGTGCCTTACTTACTCTACCAGTCAGGCTAGAGTGCAGTGACACAATCATATAGCTCACTGCAACCTCAAATTCCTAGGCTCAAGTGATCTTCCTGGCTGAGCACAGTGGCTCATACAGTACCTGTAATCCCAGCAATTTGGGAAGCCGAGGAGGAAGGATCACTTGAGCCCAAGAGTTGGAGACTAGCCTAGGTAACATAGTGAAACCCTCTCTATTTTATAAAATGAAATACTTATTTTAAAAACGTGATCCTCCCACCTCAGCCTCATGAATAGCTAGGACTACAGGCATGCAGCACCATGCCTGACTAATTTTAAAAAATATTTTTTGTAAAGGCAGGAGTCTTGCTGTGTTGCTCAGGCTCGTCTCAAGCAGTTCTCCCACCTTGGCCTCCCAAAGCACTAGAATTACAGACACAAGCCAGTGTTTCCAGGCCACATTTTCCTATTTCATGATTCATTCATTTATTCAACAAATACTTGCAGAATGCTTCTGATGTGCCTAGGCCTTTTCTCAGTGCAGGGGGAAGAGGGGTGAGTGAGGCAGATATGGGCTCTGCTATTATGGGCCTTACAGACCAGTGTGTGTGTGGCAGAGTGGCAGGCGGGCAGATACCCAGTCGGAGAAAAGAAAGGGGATGTGTGGATAGGCTGGGCATGGTGGCTCATGCCTATAATCCATGCACTTTGGGGGGCTGAGACAGGGGGATTCCTGGAGCCCAGGAGCTTAAGGCTGTAGTGAGCCATGATTGAGACCAGCCTGGGCAACATAGCGAGACCCCATCTCTACAAAAAATTTAAAAATTAGCCAGTCATGGTGGTATATGCCTGTATGCCAGCTATGTGGGAGGTGGAGGCAGGAGGTTCACTTGAGCCCAGGAGTGAAACCTCAAGGTTTCAGTGAGCCGTGATCTTGCCACTTCTCTCCAGCCTGGGTCACAGAATGACACTCTGCCTCCAAAAAAAATGAAGAAAGGGGCTGTGTAGAGAAAGTACAATGAGGAGGTGACAGAGAGAGAGCTCAGCAAAGGGAGGAGCAGTCAAGTACGGCCTCATGAAAAAGGGCACAGTTGGATAGAGACCTGCATAGTAGGAAGGAAGAAGAGCTCAGTAGAGAAAGAACATTCCAGGTGGAGGGAATAGCCAATGCAAGGGCCGCTGGGTGAGAACAAGCTGGGTGAATTTGATCAGAAGAGGGACTGGAAGTTGGTCAGTCCACTGTGTAGAAATAGAAAACCCACAGTTCATAGAGACCATACATCCATGATGGAAGAAGTTTCTATGAGAGGAGCTTAGAAGTCTCCATGGAACCTGAAGAGCTACAGCATCCTTCTAGGTGTAATCAGGTACAGAGCATCTACCTGCACTGTTACAACCTGCCTGTTAGAGCTGTGACCGTGGTGTTGACAAGAGCCTAGGACTTGGAGGGAAAAGACCTAGAGTCAAGTCTCGGCTGTTTGGTCTTGAGTGAGTCTCATGACCCTGTGGCCCTCAGTGGCTTCTTCTAAAAGTTGGGGATGATGCTGCCTTACCTGCCTTACCTTCATTTTACCTGCCTTGATGACCCTACCTGCCTTATAAGGTAGGGTCAGGATTAAATGAGTAAATGAGCACTTTGTGAAAGATGGCGTGCATGGAAGGGTTGTATATCTTTGGTAAGTGAAGCTTTGAAGCCAAAGTGCAAAGGGGTGGGTCTCCATGTGGAACAAAGTGAGCTGCTGTGTGGCTGGACTCTGAGCGCTGAGGAGGCTGTCCAGCCAGGCCAGGGGGCTTGTTTTGCACCATCTCATTAACACAGCAACTGAGATTGGTTCACTGTTCTCCTACTAATGAGCGTCTTTCCTGTTTCTCTTTTCCATAGCCTGTCCAACCTGGTGGGCTTCATAGTTCAGGATGTGTTCAGTGAAGCCATGTCTACACTCGCTCTAATCCACACTGATCTCTCTCTCTTCTCATGGAGACCCACAAATTGTCACCTCATTACAGCTAGTGCTCAACTTACGACCACGATTGGTTCTGACAGACCAGTTGTAACACGATTTGGTCGGAAGTTGAGTAGGCTATATGTACAGTACTGTGAAATGATGTTATAAAAATCTTTAGGTCATATTTTATCATAATTTTCTTTCATTATTGTTATATATCATAATTTTATTTGTTCATTTTATGCCATTTGTATCATCTCTACACAATTTTGTTTCTTATTTTTACATTCATCAGGTTTAAGTAAAACACTGCATTACCAGTACAACTGGTTTAATATTTGCAAAACATACAAAATTACAAAAACAGGTGCATACAAAAATACAAAATACAGGTGTAAGAAATACCATAAAATATCCAAGACACAAAACACAAATTGCTGTACCGAGTCTGGGATAACAGTTGAAATGGTGCACGCAGAGATGGTAGTGCTGCCGGAAGCTGGTCCGCACTGTCGTACGCCCAGCTGGGCAACGTTTGCGCTGCCAGACGCGGAGCAGTCGTGGCTAGCGATTGTGTTCGTAAAGTTGAATGGTCGTAAGTTGCATAGGTTGTAAATCGATCAATACCTGTTCTTGTGTTTTTGTGTCTTCTTACTGATTCATCTGCCTCCCTGTCTAGATCAGAAGCTACTTGGGAGTAAGAACTGTTTTTTGTATTCTTTCCTCTCCTCCATGGCATTCAATACAACATAAATCATAGAGGTCGGAACATACTGAAGTGCATTTTGAGGTAAAGTGCTCAAAAGCAATCTTCATGACACCTGTTTACTTTAGCGCTGGCTATAATGTTTACCTGCCTAAAAGTTCCCTGTTTAGGGAACTTCTGTTTATTAAACATACTTCTTTTTATGACTAGGCATTGAAAAGATTGTAATGCTTTGTTCTGTAGCCCCTAGGTTTCCCTAGATGACAAATAAACATTCCTTTTCCTGCCTGAAGATCATCTGTGGGAACCTTGGCCATGGCATCAACATCTGAGCCTGTTATATTCAGAGAGTTCTGCCCGTTGTACTATCTTCTCAATGCCATTCCAACAAAGATCCAGAAGGGTTTCCGTTCCATCGTGGTCTACCTCACGGCCCTCGACACCAACGGTGACTACATCGCGGTGGGCAGCAGCATCGGCATGCTCTATCTGTACTGCCGGAACCTCAACCAGATGAGGAAGTACAACTTTGAGGTGAGCCTTGCTTTGCTTTACACTGAGTGGCCATGAGCCACAGCTGATGGTTAACATGCTTGTGTTCTAGGATGAGAGAATTTACTTCTGATTTGCCAGAATATGACCTTAATACCTCACCCAAACAATACTTCAAAACCATCTTTAACTGAAGTGGAATTGAACTAAAAACATTGGTGTTTTTAACCTTTTTCTACCTCCAAAAATCTAATATCACTTTCTTTATGTATGTATTTATTTATTTGAGACAGTCTTGCTCTGTTGTCTAGGCTAGAGTGCAGTGGGACAATCACAGCTCATTTTAGTCTCAGACTCCTGGGCTCAAGTGATCCTTCCGCTTCAGCCTCCCAAGTAGCTAGGATCATAGGCATGTGCTGCCGCACCCAGCAATTTTTGTTTTGTTTTGTTTGTAGAGACATGCTCTTGCCATGTTGCCCAGGCTGGTCTTGAATTCCTGGGCTCAAGCAGTCCTCCTGCCTTGGCCTCCCAAAGTGCTGGAATTATAGGCATAAGCCACCACACCTGGCCTAATATCACTTTAAAAGAGAACATCACCTGGGGTCAAGAGTTTGAGACCAGCCTGACTAGTATGGTGAAACACTGTCTCTACTAAAAATATACAAATTGACCAGGTGTGGTGGTATGCACCTGTAGTCCCAGCTACTTGGGAGGCTGAGACAGAAGAATTGGTTGAACCTGGGAGGCGGAGGTTGCAGTGAGCCAAGATTGTACCACTGCACTGCTGCCTGGGCGACAGAACAAGACTGTCTCAAAAAAAAAAAAAGAGAGAACATTTTAGTGTTTAACACTTACTAGAACACTCTGAAAGTAGATATTGGCCGGGCGTAGTGGCTCATGCCTGTAATCCCAGCATTTTGGGAGCCCAAGGCAGGTGGATCACGAGGTCAGGAGTTCAACATCAGCCTGGCCGATATGGTGAAACCTCGTCTCTACTAAAAGTACAAAAAATTAGCTGGGCATGGTGGTGTGCGCCTGTAGTCCCAGGCAGAACAAATCGCTTGAACCCAGGAGGCGGAGTTTGCAGTGAGCCGAGATCACACCACTGCACTCCAGCCTGGGTGACAGAGTGAGACTATGTTTCAAAAATAAACAAAAGCAGATTTTGTTTCCCCGAAGTGTTTACAGTAGCAAGTATATACCTGTTTTTCAAAGTACCTTAACTGGTTTGAATAATCTCTGGTTCTTCTCTTGAAGTTATTATGAAGAAAGGATTTATATGAATATTGGCTAATTGCCAGAATATACGCCTCTTAGATAAGATCTCTTCTGTAGCATTGGGATCCTGACAAGTCTGTTTCTGCAGTGCTGTGGACTCAGGCATTTCTGTGTATAGATATTGGTGGAGATGGTATTTGACTGTGTTGTGTCTGGCACCAACTATTGGTAAACCGTAATGCAGTTTACACATTTAGTCAATATCTGTAGTTTATTGAGTACATCACTTTTGTAAAAGATTCAAAGTTGACTGAGTTGTGGCTTTCACCACATGGGACTCTATACTGTCTGTCGTTAGGGGGCTTTTACGGACCAAGATACAGCTTTTGTATCTAAGAGAAGTGCTTACAAATACTTGTGTTTTAATCAATATTCAATATATTAACGTTTTAATTTAAAACTTCACTAACTTAAGCCTCTGTGCTCATTTTAAAATAATAAAAATGGTTGGTACACATACAGCCCTTCCTGTGTGTCAGACATTATTCTTTAAAAAAATTAAAAAAAATTTTTTTAAATTATTAACTCATTTTATCCTCACAAAAACTCTCTGAGGCAGATGTTAACCTTATCTTTCTCATTTACTAAGGAGGCAGCTGGTGAAGTGAGGGTAGGTGACTTGCCTGAGACTGGCAGGTAGTAAATGGCAGCACCACTGTGTGAACTTGAGCAGACTGTCTCTAGGGTCTGTATTAGTTTTTTTTTTTTGAGACAGAGTTTCACTCTTTTTGCCCAGGCTGGAGTGCAATAGCGCAATCTCGGCTCACTGCAACCTCTTGACTCTCAGGTTCAAGCAATTCTCCTGCCTCAGCCACCGGAGCAGCTGGGATTACAGGCTCCAGTTACCACATCCAGCTAATTGTGTGTGCATGTGTGTGTGTGTGTGTGTGTTTTCTTTTTTTCTTTTTTTTTTTTTTTGAGACAGAGTCTCACTCTGTTGCCTAGGCTGGAGTATAGTGGTGCTATCTTGGCTCACTGCAACTTCTGTCTCCTGGATTTAGGCAATTCTCCTGCTTCAGCCTCCCAAGTAGCTGCAACTACAGGTACATGCCACCATGTTTGGCTAATTTTTATATTTTTAGTAGAGATGGGGTTTCACTATGTTGGCCAGGCTGGTCTTGAACTCCTGACCTCAGGTGATCCACCTGCCTTGGCCTCCCAAAGTGCTGGGATAACAGGCATGAACCACTGAGCCCAGTCTAATTTTTGTATTTTTAGTAGAGATGGTGTTTCACCATGTTAGCCAGGCTGGTCTCGAACTCCTGACGTCAGGTGATCTACCTGCCTCAGCCTCCCAAAGTGCTGCAATTACAGGCGTGAGTCACCATTGCACATGTATTAATATTTTTTGTATAAAAATTAGAACTACTGCTGTTCCTTTTCTTTGAGCTCATAGATTTGACTGATCTAATTCCCCAACATTTAAAACCATTACATAATCTTTCGAACTGTACTTATGAGTTTAATATGTCTGAAATCTCTCACATACTTCAGACACTTATAAGGAAGACTTGTGAATCCAGCAGTGAACCCCAACAGAATAAATCCAAGAAATCCATGCACAGAGGCATCGTAGTCAAACTGCTAAAGATAAAAATCTTAAACGTAGCCAGAGAAAAATGACATATTACCAGTAGAGGAACAATGATTTGAATGACTGTAGATTTCTCATCAGAAACTGTATTAGCCCGTTCTCACGCTGCTATGAAGAAATACCCAAGACTGTGTAATTTATAAAGGAAAGAAGTTTAATTGACTCACAGTTCCACATGGCTGAGGAGGCGTCAGGAAACTTACAGTCATGGTGGAAGGTACCTCTTCACAGGACTGCAGGAGAGAGAATGAGTGCCCAGCAAAGGGGGAAGCCCCTTATAAAACCACCCCCATGATTCAATTATCTCCACATGATCCCTCCCACAACAGATGGGGATTATGGGAACTGCAAATCAGGATGAGATTTGGGTGAGGACACAGCTGAACCATGTCAGAAACCATAGAGGCGGGACAAAAGTAGCATTTTTTTTTTTTTTTTTTTTTTTTGAGATGGAATTTCGCTCTTGTTGCTCAGGCCAGAGTGCAATGGTACGATCTCAGCTAACTGTAACCTCCACCTCCCGGTTCAAACGATTCTCCTGCTTCAGCCTCCTGAGTAGCTGGGATTACAGGCACCCACCACCATGCTCGGCTAATTTTTGTATTCTTAGTAGAGATGAGGTCTCACTATGTTTTCCAGGCTGGTCTCGAACTCCTGACCTCAGATGATCCATCTGCCTCAACATCCCAAAGTGCTGGGATTACAAGTGTGAGGCACCATGCCTGGCCAACAGTAGCACATTTTTAAAGTGCTGAGAGGCCAGGCGCTGTGGCTCACACCTGTAATTCCAGCACTTTGGGCGGCGTAGGCAGGTGAATCACCTGAGGTCAGGGGTTTGAGACCACCCTGACCAACATGGCGAGACCCCCATTCCTACTAAAAATACAAAAGTTAGCTGGATGTGGTGGCCCATGCCTGTAATCTCAGCTACTCAGAGCATTGAGGCATGAGAATCACTTGAACCCAGGAGACAGAGGCTGCAGTGAGCTGAGGTCATGCCACTGCACTCCAGCCTGGGCGACAGAGTGAGTCTCATCTGAAAAATAAAATAAAATCAAAGAAAGTGCTGAGAGAATTGTCAACCCAGAATTACTTACTCAGTGAAAATACCTAACAAGAAAGAAGACGAAATCAAAGTATTCTCAGATGAAGGAAAACTAAGAGGGTTCATGGCCAGCTGACCTGCTCTGAAGTCATTGCTAAATGAAGTTCTTTAGACAGAAGGGAACTTTGTACATCAGGAATGAAGAATAGTAAATACCTGGGTAATAAATGCAATAGATGATTTTTCCCCTATTCTTTAAAATACATTTGACAGTTAAAAACAAAAATGATAACTGATCACGTTTTAACATATGTAGATGCAGTAGTATCTAAGACAAGTATAACATAAGTAAGGGAGAGTAAGGTTCCCTATGCCTTTGTACATTTTTCTTGAGGTACAATGTTGATGCTAAGTAGATTTTGAAAAATTGCATATATATATATATATATATTGTATTCCCTAGAGCAACCACTATACAATGAGATAGATGTATCAAAATGACATTTCAAAAAAATGTTGAAACAATAGGAGAGTAGAAAAGGGGAAACAAGAAGGAAAAATGGAAAGAACAGACAGAAAACAAAATGATAGACCTAAATCCAAATATAAAATAGTTACGTTAAATGCAAATGTTTCAAATATGTTAATTAAAAGACAGAAGTTGTCAGGATGGGTATAAAATGATGAACCAACTGTATGTTATCCGTAAGAAATTAAGTTCAAATATAATGATATAGGTAGGCCGAAAGTAAAAAGATGGAAGAAGATTCACCATGTAAACACTAATCAATAGAAAGTTGGAGTGGTGGCCGGGTGCGGTGGCTCACGCCTGTAATCCCAACACTGGGAGGCCAAGGCAGGTGGGTCACCTGACTTAGGTGTTCAAGACCAGCCTGGCCAACATAGCGAAACACCGTCTCTATTAAAAATACAAAAGTAGCCAGGCATGGTAGCAGGAACCTGTAATCTTAGCTACTCAGGAGGCTGAAGCAGGAGAATTGCTTGAACTCGAGAGGCAGAGGTTGCAGTGAGCCAAAATCACTCCATGCACTCCAGCCTGGGCAACAAGAGTGAAACTCTATCTCAAAAAAAAAAAAAAAAAAAGAAAGAAAATTGGAGTAGCTA